TGCTAAACCAATAGCCACTATAGTACTGGTTGGACACTACAGTATTAGAGAGCAAGACAGCAACCATGTAAGCAAGCAACAGTTGCCATAAAGGTCTTGTTGGGAAAGCCGGCGCAGTCACTGTCCGTAGGGAGCTCTGCTGTATCAAAGGCAGTAACGCAGGGTGGCAGACAGCCAGTCTGGTGCGGAGTAGGTATGTTAAATGTCAGTTAATTGAATAGTCGAGTAACCTCATGAATTCTTATTGGTTAGTCAAATATTCTCTAGTCCTTGGGGATGGGGCCAGCAGCAATGTGGGATGCCAAGCAAGAGCTAGTGTGCCAGGGGAGCCAGTTTAAAAACTAGCTCCTCTTGCAGACCAGCTATTTGTTGCCCTGTGATGCGGCCTCTGATAGAGAGGCAGCAGTGCAGGGTAGCAGCAGCCCCTGTCTGCGGGAGTGTGGAGTCTGAGCTCCTGGACCTGGCATGAACCGGAACTGAGCCAGGCTGCCTGCCCACCCGGCTCCTAATATACTTTAAAGTCACGATGGGGGTAGGCCCCCGCACCCAGTGAGAGCTAGAATTGAGGTGGCCTGCTGGCCAGCCTGCTAAAAAATGTACTGGTTGGGGGAGAGGGAGGGAAATGCATGTAGTCTATAGCATTAACCTACATAAGAACGGCCATACTGGGTCAGACCAAAGGTCCATCCAGCCCAGTATCCTGTCTGCTGACAGTGGTCAATGCTAGGTGCCCCAGAGGGAGTGAATCGAACAGGTAATGATCAAGCCATCTCTCTCCTACCAGCCATCTCCACCCTCTGACAAACAGAGGCTAGGGACACCACTTCTTACCCTTACTACATAGGGAAAGCAAGAAAGAAAAATTGTGAAATCTATTTATTTTTTCAACTTATAGGATGCACCTATTGCCATATATTTCTAAGCACAAATAACAGGCATTCACAAAATACACAATCCAAATTGACAAACTCAACATTAATTGTAAAGGAACTCTGTGGGATTTGAGATGTATCAAACAGATTATAATGTACAAATACAATTAATGAACTTTATCGGCAAAATAGCGAATTAGTAAGTGTTAAACTAAAGCTAGCTATACCGTCATTTCCCAGAGTATTAGCACACCTCATTTTACTCAGTTGTATTAGCACCTTGGCACTGAGTCGTTCAAGGGCTCCCAAATATTCAACTTCTGGTGTAAAAGACTTAGTATGGTACTATGTAAAAGACTATTTCCCCAGAAGTTCTTCATGTGGAACCTACACTATATAGACAATATATAGACAAAACAGTACTTGTTCAATTTTCTAAAGATTAGCCGCTATTTTATCTATACTGTAAGAAATCCTTCAATATTGTTGGCAACTGAAGTTGGGGGATAAGATGCAGTCTTGCTCTTCCTGTGTACCAGCTCCCCTCTGCCCTACTACAGGCTGGAGCACACAAAATCTACTGAACTGCCCCCCCTCCCCACACACACACAGGTAAGCGAGGAGAATGTGAGCAGTGGCTTTCTCCTTCTTAGGCCGTGTCCAGACTCAGGGTTTTTTTCGGGAAAAGTAGCCTTTTCCCGAAAAAACTTCCCCTGCGTCCAGACTCAAGCCGCGTTCTTTCGAAATTATTTCGAAAGAACGCGGCTTTTCTTTCGATGGCGGTAAACCTCGTATTGCGAGGAAGAACGCCTTCCTTCGAAAGTTCCTCTTTCGAAGGAAGGCGTTCTCCAATGTAAAGAGGCCGTCTTCGAAAGAGAGCATCCAGACTCGCTGGGTGCTCTTTCAAAAAAGCGGATTTCTCTTTCAAAAGATCCGCCTGCAGTCTAGACGCGATCTTTCGAAAGATGCTCTTTCGAAAGATGCTTTCGAAAGAGCCTCTTTCGAAAGAAGCCTGCAGTCTAGACATAGCCTTAGATAAATAACTGAATAAAAATATCATTAAAACTTTATTAATGATTAAGGAAACAGAAAGATCAAGGAAACTTGTGTTTATCCAGAAGAACACATATCAATTAACTCATGATGTTGTGTATAGAGGCAGCAAGGGGGGGAGGAATCAACTAGTCAACCCGACTATCTGATAAGCATTTGTTTATTGGATAGTTGACTAGTCCTTAACATCCTTAGTAACCACATAACATTTTAGTGGTTACATGACTGTTCAATAGTTCCCAGGGGGCAGAACCGGCAGCCAGTGCACTCCTGGCCCCACTCTTGGGGAGCCCCTTGCTGACTCACGCTGCTACCTCTGAAACAGCAGAGCTCAGACTCCCACAGACATGAGCTGCTGCTCCATGGGCTGTCAAAGACAGAGACTGCTTCACAGCAGCCTGCTGTGCTAGGGGGAGCCAGCTCCTGCTTCCTCTCCCCCCCCCCACCTCTGTAGGAGACAGCAAGGAGGGAGGACTCAGGTCGTGGAGAGGGAATGCACAGCCAGCCAGCTTTTAAGCTGGCTCATCACGTGTCTCGGCTCCCACCTGCCCTCCTTATCCTCTGGGTTGCTTCTTCTTTATCAGAGGCAGCAGCATAGGGGTAAGGGGACAGGTGGATCCAGTGTTCGTGGGGAGCCATCTTAAAGCCAGTTCCCCAGGGACAAAGGCTCCCACTTCCTCTCCACCCTGCTGCCTCTGATACAGAGGCAGCGGAATCAATGGGATTAACCAATAAGACTAGGCTTATTGGTTAATCGTGTAGTCATCTACACACTGACATCTGTACTTCCTTGTAGGCAACACTTTTAGGAGTTAAACAGAAGTTCACCTTTCATGCCCATCCAGATTTGGCCTCTTTGCTGAGGCTTCCAAAAATGCTGCTGCCTGTGATATTGTGTGTTTGTGGTGTGTATGCGTGTTTTAAGGACATTTGATCATTTAAAAACTAGACCTACATCCTTCAGATGGTGCTATTGGAGTTGAATCAGTGCCAGAGATGCAAAATGCTCCCTCAAAAGTCTCCATTAAAAATGTATCAGCCAGCTACTGTTTTAGGGCATTATGTTATGAAGAGCAGGTTGGGTGTTAATTTGATCACTGTAAGTACTTACATGGGGAACAAATATTTGGTATGGGCTCTTCAATCCAGCAGAAAAAGACATAGGATCCAGTGGCTGGAAGTTGAAGTTAAACAAATCCAGACTGGAAAAAAGCCTTTTTGAGTGTTTGTTAGTGAGGGTAATTAGCCAATGGAACAATTTACCAGGGTCATGGTAGATTTTCCATAGCTAATCATTTTAAAATCAGGATTAGATTTTTTTAAATAAAAAGATATGCGCTAGTTCAAAATAATTATTTTGGGGGAGATTCTATTGCCCTCTCTCCTGCCCTCCCCCAGCAACAGGCCCCCTCTGGCTCTTACTACATTTAAAAGGCAAAGGCGCAGCAGGAAATTCGCACGAGCTGGGACTTAGCTGACCTGGCTCACGCCCGATCCCCCGCTGTGCCTCTGTCTCTGCTGTTATCCCCCCCTCCCCTGTGGAGATTGTGCTGTGAACCAGCTGCTACCCCCCCTGCTGCCTCTGATAAAAGCAGCAAGGGGGGGGGGGAGAAGCGACTATACAAGTAGTAACTCAACTAGTTGCTTACATACCCTTCACCCAAGCCCTGGCCCCAGAATTTTAATTGAGTGTAAACAATCATTTATAAACATTATCAGACTGTTTTTCCTGATTCAAGTTTGTGCAAGACAAAAAATATATAATTATCAATAAAAGTATATCTGTCCCACTTACCTTCTTGTAGAAGCAACATTCTCTCCACCACGCTGCTTGGGACAGCTAAATCTACAGGCCGTTCAAAATCTGTATTCTTGGCATTAATGTCCGCTCCAAATTCAAGAAGTAAATTTACTATCTCAGTACTGGGTTGCTGAGCCGCTGCATGTAGTGGAGTGTCCAAATATTTTCCTTTCTGCACATTAGCTCCTATATAAATATATTGGACAGACAGAAACAAATAGATGAATTAACGTTGTCAGTGCTAAAAATTAATGCTTTAAAATCTGGAACAATGTTTATAAAATTAGTGTCTAAAGTTACATTCCTAAGTTTATAAATAGATATCTAAATAAATGATCAAAAATCCAAAAGTTCTGAGCACTCACTAATCAACGTGAGCTGGATGCTCAGTGCCCTTGAAAGATAAACCACCTATTTAGATATTGAAACATGGATTTAGGGGCCTATCTTTAGGCACTTTTAAAAATCTTTGGCTTGGTCTTAGTTTATTTCCACAATGAATTCTGCAATGGATCAAAATCTTAGTGGTTAACACTCTAAAGATCAAACACTGATACTGTTTTAAAAATATTCTGTACTTTAATGTCCACATTTACTAGGTAAACTCTCAAAGGATTACTGATAATTATCTAGCCTCATCTGGTGACAAGTATCAGAGGGGTAGCTGTGTTAATTTGAATCTGCATAAACAATTAGAAGTCCTATTGCACCTTATAAACTAACAGATTTATTGGAACATAAGCTTTTGTGGGCAAGGACCCACTTCATCAGATTCACGTCCTCAGCTGTGACACTTACCTAGTCTGGGGCTCCCCATGAACATATCTTTTGCTACATACAGTAAACTTCTGATAATACGGCACCTTTAGGACCCAGGGGGTTCCGGATTATCAGATATGCCAGACTATCAGAGGGGGGGGATGCCACCCCAGACCCCTCATAGCCCCCCCCTTCCGATAGTCCGGCTGTGCCCCAGGCGTCCCTGATTCAGCCGCTGCTGGTCAGTTTCAGCAGCAGCTGAATCGGGGATGGCCGCAATAGAGGAGCGGGGGGGCG